AAAGCCACAGGCGGGAAGACCCTGTGTCTGCGTTTCCCAGCCTGTTTATCATCCCTGAGCTCTGCTGGGATGCCTTGGCTGCCAGGGCGCACGCTGCAGCTTTGCCTGAGGACTGCCAGCGCAGCTCCCCATCCTCCCTCCCCTCCTCATCTCTCGGTGCTGGAGGCACACAGAGCCTGACAACGCATGCAGCTTTTGCTGCCAGTAGCTCCACAGGAAGGATGAAATCACTTTCTCCCCTGGCCAGTAAATGTGAAGGGTAGCTGCCTGGCCTGTAGCGGGGATGGGGCATGGAGCAAGGGCTGCCTGGCCCCGCAGCTCCCCTGGCCGGCCACTCTGTTTGCAGGGGGGTTAGCACACGTCAGGCCCATCTGTCCCCAGCATCCTGGGCTGCTCCAGCCCCTGAGCGCTGCCCTGTGGTGTCTTTCAGAAGGGAAACACAGCTCTGCACATTGCTGCCCTGGCTGGACAACAGGACGTGGTCCGGGAACTGGTCAACTATGGGGCCAACGTCAACGCTCAGTCACAGGTAGAGTGACCTGGCTGGGGTGGGCTCGCACCCAGCACGCACCGTGGTGGTGTCTTCATGGTGGGAGCGGCACGGTTCTTCAGCAGCCCTTTGCAGTTTCTAGGATTGCTCCTCCATTGCCAGTTTTTTTCTTTTTTCACACCCACACTATTTGCCCCAGTGTAGTGAGCTCAGGGTCTGGGCATTGATGGGGTGTAGGTCTGCAAGGGGCTTGAAAAACTCAAGGAAGAGTTGTGTTGATGTGTTTGCAGAAAGGCTTCACACCCCTCTACATGGCAGCACAGGAAAACCACCTAGAAGTTGTCAAGTTCTTGCTGGAAAATGGAGCCAACCAGAATGTAGCCACAGAGGTGAGATCCTTGGGGAGGACCCTAGGGCCCAGCTTGCTGGGGCTCCCTTGGCTGTGCCAGCTGCTGCCGTGGCTCCTCCGCTCTTGGCCCCTCCCCTGCCTCTCCTTGGCAGGATGGCTTCACGCCGCTAGCCGTGGCTCTGCAGCAAGGACATGAGAACGTGGTTGCTCACCTTATCAACTACGGGACGAAGGGTAAGGTCCGCCTGCCTGCCCTGCACATTGCAGCCCGCAACGATGACACCCGCACAGCTGCCGTGCTGCTGCAGAATGACCCCAATGCTGATGTCCTCTCCAAGGTGTGTGGCTTTCTCATCCTGTCTCTGGGAGCTTTCCCACATCCTCGGGGAGAACAGCAGCTTGGTATGCTGTATTTATCCATCCTTTCAGCAGGGAGCATGTGTCTGGCTGGGCTGATCCCTCCTTCTTTCCCCTAGACTGGATTTACCCCCTTGCACATTGCAGCCCACTACGAGAATCTCAGCGTAACGGCTGAACCGTGGAGCCAGTGTCAACTTCACACCCCAGGTGAGCGCGACATGGAAAGCTGCTGGAGCTGGTACTGCTCCGGCACCAGGGGAGGATTCTGTGCCTCCTCTCCGTGCAGGTGCAGCAGCAGCTGCTGGGTTACACTGGCGAGGTGGGACCACGCAGAAGGTAGCACACTGATGCATACCCAAGGAGTTGCCATTAATAACCAGCATGGACCTTTTCTGCTATGGCTCATCTCTGTTGGATGCAGCCACACATCCCTGGAAGCTCTTGGGACCTTGTGTCCAGGCTGAGGGAAAGCTGGTGCTGTGCCCCGGCAGCTGGTGTGCCTCTTCCAGTCCCATGAGTGCAGCCAGATCCAAGAGCTGTTGCTTTCCCGTGAACTCTGTGCAGCTTCTGTCCGAAGCCTTTAGCTGCGGGCAGGAGGAGGCGCCCCCCCTCCCTCCCGGCCCTGTGAAACAAGCTGTTCCCCTGCGCGGTCCCTGGGCAGGGATTCAGCTGTCCCCTGCCCTCCCTCCTTTGTTCGCCCTGTGCCTCCTCGCAGCCCCACAAGGGAAAAAGGCTGCTCCCTCTAACAGACTGCCATTCCTTCTGTCAGAACGGGATCACTCCCCTGCACATAGCCTCCCGCCGGGGCAACATCATCATGGTGCGGCTGCTGCTGGACCGCGGCGCCCAGATCGAGACAAGGACCAAGGTGAGACTGCTTCTGAATCACCAGCAAGGGCACGGGCCATCACCCTCCTCGAGCTCCTTGCATCCAGAGAGCGCTGCCCGGTGCACACCCTGTGAGCATCTTGCTGGGTGTGCAGGGGAAGGTCCGCGGTGCACTGAGGGGGTGAACCAGGTTTTTTGCTGGTGAATGTAGAGGTGGGAAGGAGGCTGTGTGGCTGCAGTGCCCTGGGGGCTGAGGGCAGGCTCAGTTTTGCTTTATTTTGCGAATGAGTCCAAAGTCCTTGTTACTTTCCTGCCTGAAGGGAGCCCAGCCCTTGCTGGCCCGCACTGAGCCCTTGAACCCTTCTCTGTCCCAGGACGAGCTCACCCCTCTGCACTGTGCAGCTCGCAATGGACACGTGCGGATCGCAGAGATCCTGCTGGACCACGGGGCTCCCATTCAAGCCAAAACCAAGGTACCCACGGGACTCTGGGGGGTTGTGCGTGGTGCCAGGTCCCAGGGCAGCACAGGGGGTGACAAGCTGTGCACAGCTGCTGGATG